TAAAAGCTTTAGGAATCCAAAGTACAACATATAATAAGTACCCTGTATCAAGATTGATGCAAAACAAGTGACATTTGACCTTTTTAGAGAGGTTTAGAAAAACAATTTGGGTGGAAATGGGCGTTTTTGCCGTTTCTCTGGAACCCATTGGTCGATTTTGATGATTGACATCTCTTTTGAACCGTTAGAGCCAATAGAATCGAAGGGGAATTTCCACATACACACCAACGTTACCATTGAGAAATGAGAGCTATGCGCACGCAGTTTGCCCAAAGCGAAACCTATCTTACGCTCTGAAATCTGAAAACTTAAAACTAGGTTTATTGCTGATGGATTATCAGAAATCATTTCAAAGTGACACAGACACATTGGATTAACCTATGGATTAACCTTCAGCAGCGTTTTTATCATTTTAATGCCATTGAAGACAACTTTTGATCAGACAACAACGAAGGTAAGACATATTGCCGTGTTTGCTACCTAATGACACGTGTTGTGATGTCTGTTTTTGTTTCTCATTTTGCGAGTTCTTATCATGGAGTGATGATACAGATACCTATCAAATCTGTGTAATCTCACGATGCTAGTCGATGGGTTGGATTTGCATTTACGATAAGTAATAAGGGTTTTATGAGTGAGTTCTGTGCTAACGGCGTTAGCATTTTTTCGCTCAGGGCTAATTCAGAGGCTCAGCGTTAGTCTTGTGTTTTTCTTTGCTAAAAATGGTTCATATCAGTCAGCTGAGTTTCTTCCCGTTACATGGATATGAAACATTCATAGTTTATTAAATATTAAGAAGCCCTCAGACGCTGTTTCCTGCAGATGATGCGTTTTTCCGCCCGCCGCTGGGGGGATGGGGTTTAACAGGTTAAAGAATAGATAGCCCAGTGGATAGAGCCGGCGGCCCGCATGCGGCGACGTCCTCCGCGCAACTGGTTCAAATCCTGGAATGGATGAACTTTTAATCATTGCCCGCTTTTCAACTTTAATACTATAACTGATAAAAGGCCCTCTCCGGCCAAAAAAATGCCTTTAGAAAAATACAAAATAAAAAGAATGATGTACCTCAATAAAGATCTTTGAGTGTTCCCCATCCCACATAATCACCCCCTGCCATAATTACACAAGCACACCCAACCAATGCCACCTTTTCCAGCACTCTCTTCTCAATAACCCAATACACACAATTATCAATCTTTAATTGCAAATAGAACATGATATTCAGTCTTAGTGTGTGTGTGTGTGCATCGAATATTTTTCAAGGCAAATATACTTAAACCCACTGCAGCCTTGCACTCCGCCAGGAGAGGTCACTGTAATGAAGCTTCGAGAAATGAACCTATTTGCGAAACAATCGTCCAAGTGGTTCAATGCTTCATTCAAAGCTTTATTTGCCCATCACTAACTATCATCACCATTAGCTGTGTCAGATGTCAATCAATCAACAGAGACATGTATTAACTTATGGGCAGGGCTTTACAGTCTATGGGGCATTGGTTGGCATTGTCCCCCAAAAACTTCCTATTGGTCCCATGTGGCTTGTTGGCACCTGGTCACCCTAACTATGACATATGTTTTGGGTTTGTGTATACGTTTGCTTACATTTTGGTAGAGCCCCGGGCCCCCGTGGAGAAAGATTCACCAGCCACCACTGGGCTACTACCAGCATGATAACACGCCATGTCACAAAGCTTAAATGATCTCCAACTGGTTTCTTGAACATGACTGAGTTCACCGTACTCAAATGGCCTCCACAGTCAACAGATCTCATTCCTATAGAGCGCCTTTGAGATGTTGTGAAACGAGGGATTGGCATCATGGATGTTCAGCCGACAAATCTGTAGCAACTGCTTGATGATATCATGTCAATATCGGACCAAAATCTCTGAAGAATGTATCCAGCATCTTGTTGAGTCTATGCCACGAAGAATTCGGCAGTTCTGAAGGCAAAAGAGGGTCCAATCCGGTACTAGCAAGGTGTACCTAATTAAGTGGCCGGTGAGTGTAAGGCAATGCAAGGCAAGGCAAGTTTATTTATATAGCACCTTTCAGCACACGGCAATTCAAAGTGCTTTACAAAATAAATTAAAAGACATTTACGAAGAAATACAGCAGAAACACATTATAAAATGGCATTTCAAAACAGGCATTAAAAAGCAAAGATAATAAAATAAAAACAAGAGGTATAGAATACATGAATAAAAGCCATACTGCAGCTCAATCAAAAGTAGCGGCAAAAATATGAGTTTTCAGTCTGGATTTGAAATTAGTAAGAATTGCAGCAGACCTGCAGGATTCAGGGAGTTTGTTCCAGATAGTCGGGGCATAATAGCTAAACGCTGCTTCTCCATGTTTAGTTCTTACTCTTGGAACAGAGAGCAGACCCGTACCAGAAGACCTGAGACTCCTGGATGGGTTATGCAGGAGATCGTTAAAATAATTTGGTCCTAAACCATTCAGTGCTTTAAAAACCAGCAGCAGTACTTTATAATCAATTCTTTGACAGACAGGAAGCCAGTGTAAAGACTTCAGAACTGGAGTGATGTGATCCACTTTCTTAGTGTTAGTAAGGACTCGAGCAGTAGCGTTCTGAATCAGCTGCGAGACCTGTGAAGACACCATTACATTACTGTTACTTCCTGATAGTATTATACTGTCAGGAAGTAACAGCTCAGCCAGTGTTATGCTTGTACAGCTGACAACACCAGAAATACACAGTCACAGGACATAATGTGTTCTAACGAACAAATGAAATATTTTAATTTCTCCATTCCTGCTTGCCTGTGTCTGTTTGCACTCAAATATGCCCTGTTTTGCTTTGTTCATTTATAACCTAAGAACATTTCTTATTTGATAAGAAATGGTAACGGTAAAAAAAAACGGTAAGAGAATTATATATTTTTTCTTAACATAGGAATGTATTCTTCAATCTCATTTTGTTACAATTATTTGGAGAAAATTGTAACCCGAACCAAGCATTGTGAATCCTAAATGCATTTTTTTCCTACATGTTTACTGACTATATTTGCGAGAGGGCTGGAAAATTAAACCAAGCCAAACTATTTGATATTTAAGTTCTGCCTAAAAGTACGGCTGCAAAGGTGTGCTAAATAAAGTAAAATTCCCAAATAATTGTTTTTAACTACAAAGTTGACTTTTTTTTATTGTAATTTAACATGCATGCCTACAGGTAACAAAATTCCAAATCTCTATATTGTAAAAAAATGGAGTACTGATGAACCCTAACCCTAACCCTAGAGAGGCCCACGCTATACAAAGGTCCACAAGTCAGCTCTCTCTAGCCGTTAACTACCTTATTAGCCAATGACCTGCCAAAAAAACATCAAAGGCAACACCCAGACTATAAAGCAGGGTCCATATTAGGAATGGTTTCTCTTTTTAAATAAACACAGTTTGAACCCGGTGTCTGAACCCATACAAAATAAACAGGTTATAATTGTTTACACACATTTAGCTACACATGGTTCTGATCAATTTGCTGCCCTTGGCGAGAGTTTAGCTTTTCACAAACAAAAATAGGTTGACAACCGAATACCACCAAAACATGGCAAGCATATTTATTGTTCCTTTAATCCCACTCTTCGTTAGAGCTAATTATCTCCCATTTCATGGTGATTTCATTGATTTTTTGTGGCGATAATTTTTTCCAAAATAAATTGTATTTTTAATCTACTCTTCAAACACCTTTAAATTAAGAATGCTCCTTGATTGACTTTTAAACATATGTATTTTAGCCAGAAGAATAGTTGTATTTATTAAATGTGTGCGGTCTTCATCTAAAAGCCCAAATAAAATATTAAAGGGTGTAAATGTAAATTCAATATTTGCCGCCAAATCATTTGCAAAATTATTATTATAATTATATTATTATTATGATTTGTGTGGAAACAATTTCATTATTAACCTTTTATTTTTATTTTAACCTCTTTTCCTTTCTCTTTCTTGATCCTCCTTAGCAACGGTCATTACAGTCCTTGACAGCGGTCTGTACTACTGGATCAACAACGTGTCACATGTTCTGAATGGACCAATCAGAACTTTATTTAGCCTCCGTATTGTTAATGGTTGAATGTGGGCCGCGAAAAAAATGTTGATACTCGGCCCTGAGTTGAAAAAGGTTGGGAACCGCTGATCTAGGGGGTACAACTTTAAACACCCATATGAAAAAGATCGGTTTACATTTTAATAATCAAATAAGTATGTGAACATAACCAATAACCTACCATAGCCAATAACAAAGAAATGTAACGTATTTTATTTTTGTTGTTCATTTATATCTTATTTTACCTAGTTAACATTTATTTATTTATGCATTTTTTTTAATATCTCCAGTTCTAAACGATATTTTTGGTTTACTGTCCTATAGTAGCCTATATATTTGAATGATTTCAAACCTGTTTTTATTTATCATAATAATTATAAAGGTGTGCCTTGGAAATATTTGTTTACATAAATTGTGATCAAAACGTTTGAGACCCACTGAGATAACTTAGACTAAAGTGAACTATCTATGACTCTCCTCCACCTTCTTGTAGAAACATCTTCTTATATCCGTTACCGCAGCGCCCCCCCAGATCTGACGCCCTATGCCAAAAACCGGCCCTGCATGGTGTTTTAACCCTCTTTGTATAACTTGAAGTTGTATTGTAAGTGAAAACAGCAGTGTTATCACTATCTAAACATGACCAGTCAAATGTTTATTTTACCCTCATCTCAAAAGAAACAATATTTGACACATTGTGTCACCTTAATCTTTACCAGTTATTCATACTGATAGAAGTAGACCTTTTTTACTTCAGTGTTAATTACATATATTTAAGATACACTAGTACATTGAGATTTTTTACAAGTAATGTACTGTCCTTGGTGCAATATAAAAGTCCTAAATAACAGATTCTAGACTACTTAAGCACTTATTATTCCTGTCAGATTTATTGGAGTGTAGGTCCATCATCATCAAAAATGAAAATAACATCTAGTTTTTCTTTCAGTAAACACATTTTATTTGGTTTGGTAGCAAAAACAGCACCTAGAGACAACAGTATGGTGTGGGCAGCCTCCTAAGGGGTCGATAGGTTTCAGTTACAGGAAGCGCACAGGGAAGACATGCACTACTGCAGCAGGCAATTTAAGACATTAGTTTGACCAACAACGCTCAAGCACTGTTTCAGTACATTCGCATTCCTTTGACAATACCACTGTCTATCCAACACCGTTTTGAAAGATACAGCCCTTCATGAATGGAATAGCTGTTGCATAGATTTCAAAGGAGTGTTTTAGATTGTATCTTCTTTTTTCATAGTTGCAATTTGCCCATTTTTTATCCCACTTTGTGAGACAAAACTACATTTTTTTTTAGTTCAGACAGTCAGACATACAAAATAGATTCTTTGGTCCCTTTCAGATGCTTCATAGTGTTAGGATCATTTATTGCTTCATGAGGAACATGTTAAGGCACTATTGGAAAATTGCTGGCAAGCATTTTACTTCATATTTGGGGGGTACAGGGGGAGTGAAGTGTAAGTATAAAACTACCAGCAGATGGCCGAGGAGATCATAGCAGACAGGTAGCTACACCTTTGAACTAGACAGCTCAATCTTCAATGACCTCAGAGGACTCGGACACCACTCTGCCATCCTTGGTCTCGATCATCTTGATAACAACGTTCTTCTTGCTCTGGGTCGTAGTGTAACCGCCGCCGCTGCTTCCGCTGCTGAAGTCGCGCATGCTACTGCTGCCCATGTTACTGCTGCCCATGTTACTGCTGCCCATGTTACTGCTGCCCATGCTACTGCTGCCATATCCGCCTCCGTATCCACCGCTGTAACCACTGGAGTAGCCGCTTGAGTAGCCGCTCTTATTGCTGGGGAAACCACTGTAGCTTGCTGTTAAAAGAAGGTAGGTAGAAAACAGTTAGTTCGTACAAAATATTTTAACGCATTGGTAGAAATGTAATCTGAGAACCAATCGGCTATCGTCAGACTCTTTATTTACAAAAATGTTGCTTGTGAATTGGTTAATTGAGACAAAACTTGCCTTGGACTTTTTTTCTGGCTTTTAGTCTGAAAATATAGCCCCTTGCTCCCCGGCTTATTGTCTACATCATTCCTTTTGAGAAAGATTACACACCCTTTTGAAATCATTTTACTGATATGAGGACTTACAGCTCTGTTGGGAAATGTTGACTGACTGGATGCCGTTGACCAGCCTGTCCTCCTCTCCCTCCAGAAGTTTCCTGTAGGTGGCAATCTCAATGTCCAGGGCCAGCTTGACGTTCATCAGGTCCTGGTATTCTCTGATCTGGCGGGCCATGTCCTGTTTGGCTCTCTGCAGGGCATCCTCAAGGTCCCTGATGCGGAGCTTGGCGTCCTTCACTGCCATCTCACCGCGCTCCTCAGCCTCAGCGATCTGGGCCTCCAGGTTGGCACGCTAAGAGAAGACACTTTTTTTTAAAGAAGGCTTTTCTACACTCCTGATAAACTATATATCATTGATAAGAATGGTGTACTATGGTGCCAAAACACTTTTTTCCATACCTGTCCCTTGACGGCATCAATCTCTGATGTCAGTCTCTGGATCATGCGGTTGAGGTCTGAGATTTCTGTCTTGGTGCTTCTCAGGTCTTCTCCGTAACTGCTGGCGGAGGTCTGCATCTCGTCATACTATATAAACATCAACAATATAGAACGTTACAAATAGGAAAACCTAATGACAAGAACATTGCATGCCCACTAATGAACTCATATGTTTCACCTTTCGTTCAATATGAAAGTAAAGTATACTTTTGGCGAGTTGAGTTTTCAACACCCAAACCATATCTACCTTTCTAAATAAAGAAATTATAGTAACATGAGGATAAGACAAAAATCAAAAAGTGTTCTTAATCACCTTGGACTTGTACCATGTCTCTGCCTCAGCACGGCTGCGGTTGGCGATGTCTTCATACTGAGCCTTGACTTCAGCAACAATGGAGTCCATGTCCAGGTTGCGGCTGTTGTCCATCTCCACAACGACGGAAGTGTCCTTGATCTGGCTCTGGAGCTCATGAAGTTCCTGAAGAAGGACAAGATGAGAGATTTGTATACGCCTGCTTTATTTAGGAAACCCATCCAGCACAAGAGGGCGAGTCAAGATGCCAAACAAATGCTACAGTAAGAAAAGAAGCACCCAACGCCACTGAGCTGATTTTGTGCCATACCTCTTCATAGATGGACCTAAGGAAGTTGATCTCATCTGTCAGACTCTCCAGCTTGGCCTCCAGCTCAACCTTATTCATGTAGGCCTCATCAACATCCTGGAAACAAAACAAATGTTTGATAAAATGATTTACCAAATAACTGACATTGTCTTCAGGAGAGAGAAAAAATGGCAGACATGGTATGATATTTGTAATTCAAAAACAAGACACGATACTGACCTTCTTGATGAGAACAAAGTCATTCTCACACTCTGTGCGCCTGTTGATCTCATCTTCATACCTAAGAGAAAAAATATATAGTTCCATGAAGAGTTTCATAATAGCGCTTGTTTAGATTCCAGAGTTTATACACCAATGTACCACTAGGAGGTGCAAGTAGTCCATCCATAACTCTTGAACTCATTTGTGCCTGACACAAAGGTGGTTGAGCATGAGCGGTGTTACTGACATTTCTCTCTTGAGGCTCCTCTGAACTCAGCTGATATGTTCCATATGTCTGTGGACAGCTGACAAATATGTTTGGTACCATTTTGTGTTAGGGAACTGCGCGTCAGCATGCACCCATTAGTCTGCTAAAAGCTGTAGGGTTAGGATAAAGCTGAAGACAGCCAACTCTGTAAAATGACTTTTACTTCGATTCATATGCAATGCAATGGGTGTTTGGAACATGCTTCCTCAGTGCTGTAATTCCCTTGAGTTTATATGACGCAAGACAATGGACAGATGTAGGGAGTAGTCCTAAAAAAAAAACATTAACTCCGTTTGCTGCATGGCTAGTCCTGGAGCACAAATTGGACATTGTGCTAATGTATAAAATAGGAACAAGTTTTTCGCATTTGGCAAATCGTCCCCTGCAACCTATATAAAAAGATTATTGCTAGATAAACAATTTGCTTCTTTATGGTGCAGAAAAGGCCTGCACAAAGCAGCTGGCTCTCCCTCCCCCCTCCACACTCACTTGTTCTTGAAGTCCTCCACCAGGCCCTGCATGTTGTGCAGGTCGGCCTCCAGCTTCATCTTGTCGTTGCCGAGCCCGTCGAGCTGTCTGCGCAGGTTGGAGATGTAGGCCTCGAACATGGCGTCGATGTTGGAGCGGGTGGTGGTCTGTCCCTGCAACAGGTTCCACTTGGTCTCCAGCATTTTGTTCTGCTGCTCCAGGAAGCGGACCTAATGTGTGAAGAAAGTGGCATCAAATCATTATTATGGGTACTATGAGAAACATATCAAAAAGACTTTAGAAAGAATTAGCGACTTACATGATTGTTTACTGTAATTTGTTATCAATGGTAATGCAAGCATGATGTAACTGCAGTGTTCTCTGTCCTGACAAAACAATATGGGCCATAACATTCTGATAATCATCAGGATCAACTTTCCATTCCTTCTATTCAACGTCTACAGGCTTTGATGTTATCTAACTTTGGAGCTGCGTTTCCATAGGAAGGCCTGACTTGCATGCATCCTGACAGGAGGTAGAGGGGAGGGAAGTCAGGACGAGGTTGGAAAAAACTGGTAATGGAGGACTAAAGCGAGATAACCGTTCTCTATGTCTTCCTGCTTTTGTATAGCTGGCGAGAGAAGACAAATACGCAGAGAGAGAAGGGGGTGAAGCAAAGTTGCATCCGCAGGCATATGCAGGAAGGTAAATATTTGACTTTGTTATAGACGTGATGAGAGGAGCGCAGAGAATGGTAGGCGGAGAGGGAAAGAGAGGGCGATGTACGAGGTGAAGAGAGAAGTGAGGTCGCATGATGAAAGGTGGAGTTTGCATATTTGTGAACAGTAAAAGCAAGGCAGCCAAAGCAGATATACACCTCGATGGACCTTGCTCTGATACATTGTACTTTACAGGTGAAATCCAAACAGGAATGTCATTTGAACTGGAGTAAATACAGATAATAAGGTGCCTTTAAATGGACTGTCACCACAAGATAAGAGATGATAGGCTGGAAGTGTATCTGCTTTGTGTTGAAGCATGCAAAATGCTCTTTTAATCATTGCACCGGGCAAAGGACAGTTGATATGTAGCAAGTCAGCTGGCATTGACCAGAACATGAAACCAACTGGCCTTTTTAAATATTAACCTACTGCTGCCGAGGCCTCAGAGGACACATACACTCCTAAGTATTATATGCTGGACATAAATGCGGATTAAAATGATTCATATGAAGAAGCTCCCAAAGGGCACTCATTTTAAAAAGTGTCGCCATGAAATAAGTTTTTGTCATTGAGGTAATGATTGTGTGAATGATTGTGTGAATGTTTGTGCGTATGTGTATGTGTTTGGGAGGGGTGGTGGCCACCAGGGCAGCAGAAAGAGCCACACCCCAGCTAAGGGAGGGACCATTCCCAAGGTAACTGGTATCACAAGCCCTGAGCTCTGACCTGACACACCCTACGCTTTCTCTCGATCTTTCTCTCATATTTGTCTTTCTCAATCTCTCCTTCTGCGAGTCTGTTTTTCATCACTATAAAAGGGCAGGCCGAGCCAAAAAGATAGACAGCCTAACCCTAACTCTGAGCACACTCCAGCACATTTGTTTTCTGTAATTGTGGGAGTTGACGAGAGCAGAGAGGTGTAATAAATCTACTTTTTACATGCAGCGAAAGTTGGGAAATCAGCATTACAGGACATGTGGCAAACATATGGAGCTCAAAATCAAACAATGTGCACTGTGAAGATACGTTGACTACACTATGTGACTGAAATTCACACTCAAAGCATTTTCTGTCTGCATGAAGACTACAATGAGGCAAAGAGCATTGCCTGACTGTTTTTTTCACACATTGGCTCTTACCTTGTCAATGAAGGAAGCAAAGCGGTTGTTGAGGGTCTTGATCTGCTCCTTCTCCTGGGTTCGGACACCATGGATTGTGGGGTCAATCTCAAGGTTCAGGGGGGCCAGCAGGCTCCTGTTCACAGTGACGGCGGTGATAGGTCCATGACCCATTCCCATTCCCATGCCTCCACTCATTCCCATGCCTCCACTCACTCCCATGCTTCCGCCACCCATGCTTGAGTTCAGGCCATAGGCAGAGGAGCTGGTGATGCCTCCAAAGTTCCTGTTGCCTCCTCCATAGGAATTCTTGACACTGTAGCTGCTGCTGCTGCGGCTGCCTGCGCTCGGTCCAGAGTAGGACATGCTGCTGAAGCTCCTTGGGGCGTTGGAACTTCTCACGCTGTAAGAGCTTTTCTTGAAGGAGCTCATTCTGAAAGCTGGAGGCTTTTTTTCTCTTCTGGATGAAGTAAGTCTGGGAAGGTCAGACCAAATGGCTCGGTTGGTGAGGCAGGCAGGCAGGCAGAGGGGAGAGACCAGAGTGGATAGAAAAGAGAAAAAGCTACAGTGGAGTTTTAAAGCCTGTGGCTGTGGGAGGGGACTCTGCTGCGCTGCCATTGGCTGCATGTCTGGCTCAGAGAGGGAGGCAGGGCTGTAACATTACACTTCTATGACACATTGTCTTGTCATTCAAAACCATTACCTGGTTTCTCTGCAGGCCCTGTGTTGTTACAGAAAACCATGTCTTTCGAGAGGATTGGAGAATAGTTATATTTCTTTGCTTTGATCTCCTGTGTGTGTCTTCAGGTAAAACTACTCAAACACACTACAGCTTATTCAACAGGTCTGGATAAATAGAAAATAAAAAGGTTCTAAGTTAAGCAGCAGCTATGTATTAAATGCAGTCTGTGTGTGGGGGCAGGTTGGTGGGTGGTTGATAAGAGTTTATTAGTTCTTAGAATGAAAGCTGGTTTAAATCTGTGAGTGTTTATAACTTTCAAAATGATTATTTTTCATGTTTTTATATATATATTAACTACATATCCCTTTTACATCATAGTTTATAAATGTTTCTATGACTATACTCCTTTCTACAACCATACTATGTTATATGTTATTGTACATTTACTACTGGAATGTCTTGGATTTTAATTCGATTTAAAAAAATGTTACATATTTGTGTGGGCCCTTTATAGTGCCTTGCCTTCCCTCAGCTGTTATATGCAATGTAATACACAAGAAGTCATTACATTTCACAAAACACAGCTGAAAATGTCATAAAAACTCGCAATATGCAAGCTTTGAGGTGTTGGTATAGGCTTTATAAAGAAATAACCTTCCTACTTGGAAGTCTTTTTGCAAGGCTTAGCTCACAGGCAGCTGGCTGTTGCTACTTGATTTTTCTCTCACAAAGATGGCAAACCAGCACAATTACTATCATAAATAATACATGGGAAAGCAGCTGGATGTCATACCCCAAAACTCATACTACAAACAACATTTGTAACAAGACACATTGTGCTGGTTCTGTTTTAAACACAGAGAAAGAAAATACACTTATGCTTACTGTACCAATTTCTAAAAACAAACGCTTGGTCTGAAGTTCTAGACCAATTTTTTTGACGCACTGGATAACTCCTGTAGTGTTTAATGCATGTACCAGAGTATCTGATAGACTTGGTTAAAGGGGCACTATTATGCTAATTTTCAGGTTCATATTAGTATTGTGGGCCTCGACTGACCAGTTTCCATGCTGTAATGTTCAAAAAGCTCTTTATTTTACACCTAAAAAGTTACCCCTTTCTTAGGTTAAGCCAACAATACTACCTCGTTATGAAAATGTCCTGGTATGGGTTGAAATCATGGTACATAACGTAGGTAAGAGTATGTTGCATACATGATTTGAGTTAATTACATAACGCAAGTACATTACGTAGCTTAGACTAAGTCAACTGCTTTTTACTAAAGACACTAACAGTGGCCTCATAGGGGAAAGTATTGTGTTCGTTTGACCCATTTTTGCGTACAGGAAGTGTTGTGGTTTCCAAACTGCCATATTTAAAATGTTAAGAGTCAGAAATTGTAATTTTTGAGGAGCACTTGGGACATCTAACATGCATATTTTTCAATATCTGAAATTGGACCATAGCCGTTACCAAGGTGGTTTGTTACAATAAGCCATTTTCGAGAAGTTTTTTTTTGGATGCTTTAGGGCTCCAAATTCCTTGGCTGCTGCAGGCTAACTCTATGCAATACTTTGTGTGGTTGTGAATATAACACACATCACATGTACTGTTCTGTAAGCTTATGTCTGCAAACCAGGTGAACTGCACTAACCAGCTGGCTTTCATCAATGTCGACCAAGAGTTAAGGTCGGCTAATGCCATTGAGCCTGAGGCTTTTGAAAACAATGAACAAGACTCAAAGTTTATTTAGGCTTATAAACAACTGTGTGCTCATGTATCTGTCCATGTACACGGCCTCAGATAAGAAGACTTGTGATGCATGGTTGGTCTCTTTAAACACCTGTCCATAATTCATAACTGATGGCTTTTCCCTAGAGAACTACTCACTGTGTAAACATCTGTAAAGTTTTTGTTGCACAACACTGATATCAAATCTAGTATTGCCCATAGTATTCCTGAACCATGTTTCCCACCATGCAACAGTGGGAAACTACACTGGCACACATAGCAGCTCAACCTTCTACCGTCCTTCCACCAATACCCGCCCTGCATTCTTCTCCTCCCCCCATTAATTTCCTCCTCCAGTCCCTCACCACGATGAGTCATGATTCTTGGCACTACCAATCCAAAATCCCTCCACCATATCCTCAATCTTCTTTTACCTTTTGTTCTCGCCATTGGCTCTTGACCTCCTTATTAGCATGGAAACGCACTAAAAACAAAATAGACTCCCATCTTCTTTCAGCCAAAATGGATGCCTGCCCAAGAGGGAGGCATTTGAGTGCACAGAGTTAGAAAGCACAGAGGGACTGACTCAAATTAAGAAAAGCACATGTGGCAATATCGATATGATGTTGTGAATATGAGTTTGCGCTTTCAACACAAAGGAAGAAAATTGGTTGGGGACAAAAATAGACAGCACTAAAGGGCAATTCCTGCTCCTGTTGCAAAATGCATATGACTGAAGTGAAATCATGCTGATCATATCATATATCATCACCAGGCTTTGAATCATGTGTGAGGTTCATTCAAAACAGATCTTTCTCTCGGAACGTCAAATTGAATTTCAGTAATTCCGCCATGAACTATGCTTTCTGTTGGTCATATGACTCTCATTACTTTGGCCAAGACTGTAAATAATCTAATTATGTTTCAATACAATTTTGCACTATAAGCCACTATTTATTTGGGCCCAAATGTATCAAAATGCAAAATTCTATAAGGCAAAGGATATATATTCACATTACCTTATATACAATTTAAAGTTGAATTCTGAACATTAAGTCATGTTGGAAGTATTGTTACTTTTATTTTTCACTTGAGGTCAGAAAGAGAGGTTACCACACACAGCTTTTAGAAGCAATTGTTCATTGCTCATGATGAGTACGATATAATAGGCAACATGTATATTTCAGAAAAGTGTATATTTTGCATTAATATTTGCGTTTTACAAGATGACTTTAGGGGTGCAAACCAGAAACAAATTATTGACAAAGTTTGCATTTCTAATTTTAAATATTTTTGGTCTGTACTTGACTGTAAGGTACTAATGTATTCCTATTGTATGTTTGAGTACGATCATCGTCTGCCCGCAGCAAAATCTCTTGCAGCTTTAGTCTGGTGTTATTTAGTTCCAGTTTAAAATAAATTAAAATTAAAATATCTGCAGATTTTGGCTAAATCCTTGTCTCTTGCTATTCCTGCTCAGGGCCTACCTTTGATCACGTAAGAACTGATTGTAAAATGATACTCCTTCACCTTGTTGTGAGTAAAAGTAAATAAATTAGCAATAAGTTTGATACAGACCCTGATTTCAACAGTTCTTTCAAGCCATCACATGACAACTAAACAAACATGAAATCACAATGAATCATCAGATGATTTGCCCTTTGGACATGTTTGCTTGGTAGATAAAGTTAGAAGTAAGATGTCAGATGCATCCGCAGGTCAACAAAGCTGTTTGAGATCAATGCTGTTGTCCCTCGATACTGCAAACAATCATTCGGACCAGCTAAGAACTGGCTTTTTTAAAAGCCTCTGGTTCATTCAGCTTTTTGTTTTAGTTGTAAAAGTTGCATTCAGACATATTTGGACAACCCAAGTATTTAGCCAAGGGTAATAAATCAACAGTTCTACATCTGTGAAGTTTCATTTTAAGGTTGTTCGGGTACTGCCATTTATTCCGTAATCAATTGTAAAGAGGCTTTGATCATGTCTAGTCACATGCTTCTAGAGATTGTCATATTTTCTGTCGTTACAACATCAATAGCCTGAGGTTGTTTGCTGGCAAATCACAAACCAAGCCGGCTGCTGATATTTCTTGTTTGACAGGGCAGGATAAATGAATGTGACGAAAAACAGACCTTTAACACTCTATAAACATCTCAGAGGACCTATCGGCTGTCAGCTCTGCACAAAGCTGTCCGTCACAAGGGCATCTCAGAGTGTGTCGCAGCTTCTGTGTGTGGGCCGGTACTGAGGGTGTGTTGATGCTTGTAACTCTCTTGCCCCTGTGCTGCACCCGACCATAAAAGTCACACAGGACATAGAATCACTCATCGATGCAAATCAAGCAACATATCAAATTAGGATCAAGTTGGCACGAAAATGTCTCGTTGTCGTGAGATTAGCATGACACAAGCACCAAATGTGATGTTTTTGTAAGTGGGTGGTTTCATTGCACCAGTTCAACAATAGCTTTCCAGCAGCCTTTCCTGGCAGGATACAGTGCAAACACACTGAACAGCCCCTTTTTGTTTTAAGGCCCCATTGTGTTGCTGTTGAGCCGTCTACACCATTACATAGTGAAAGACGACCCCTCCTCTCAGAAAGACGGAACTGTTTTACTTTACGTTCTTCTGGAACAGCAGGTTCTATGGGGGCCTCTGGTATTCTAGCACAAGGCTGTACAGAGGGACAAGCACAGACATTTTAAGGAACTGTTGCTATAACTTGAAAAAAGGCATGTTTTTATTTTTTCTATCGCAATGTAATGTTTCTGAACCAGCTTTCTGGATCTAGAACTTGTGTATGGTGCAGACCCAAGTGCATGGTGTTCCAATGACGCACCCTACAAATGTATTTCTTTATGTTGGTTATTAGACATGTTTTGGAAAGATACTCTTCTGCCAGTATTATTTACTGTAAATCCCATTGGGTTGCCTTAAACATGCATTAAGTAAATGAGGTTCTCTCAGTGAACTACAGCAGTTTGGCTTGGTTTAGCTTACAAAAGTTTAGAGACTGCCTGCTAAAATGACACCTTCCCATTAGAAAGAAGTCATTCCATTTTAAGGTATGTGCTGAAATGACACTGTCCCATTAGAAATAGGTCATTTATTGTTCAGTTTGTGAGAGTACTTCATTGGAAAA